ATTTCTAAAAATCAATATACGCGTGCGAGGAGGAGACGAGAGAAGGGGCTATGAAGCAAAAAAAAAAAAAAGAAAAGAAAAAACATATTCGATATCCCGTTCGCCCCGGCGCTCTTCTCCTTTCCCCCGCTTTTTTCCCTGGGTACGTCTATCCCGGCTTTCCTTTCGTTTCTCTTCTTTTTCCCATTATCCTCCTGCGAAGCGAATTGCACGTAATCTATCCCTGTCCTCTCTCTTTCTCTCTCGCTCGCTCGCTCGCTCTTTCGCGATACGACGTTGCGAATAGGCAATAGAGAAGGAGGGATCGGTTTCAAGGAAGAGAACTCGTCTCGGATGAGGCCGGAGGAGAGAGAACTCGCGCGCCAAGCTAGGCTAGGCTCGGTAAAAGCGCGGGAGAGTTTATTTTCTCAGAAGCGCGTCGTCGCTCACTTGGTATAGTCTCTGCCGGCAGTACCGGTGTTGGCCTCCCGAATAAATTTCATTCAGAATCGCCCGCTCGCACGCGAGTTCGGACTCTGGGAGTCAGTCCTTCCCTCCTTCGCCTTCCGTCCTTTATCCCCTCCCCTCCCCCCCCCCCCCCCCCCCCCCTCGCCCGAATCGCGGACGCGATACACGTCGGGCACGCGGGTGGCAATTAAACGGGTTAACGACATTTCGGTTACGTTCGGCTGAACAATGTAATTCGCTCCTCGGCCTCGATTTAATTGGAGGGAATCGCGTCTCGTGAGAACAGATCGGGCTCGATCGCGCGAAAATTGAGAATCGCGTTAACGGAACTTGGATCATAATAGATCCTTTTTCTTATTTATCATGTCGAATATATCAATTTATTCATTGGCATAGCCAAGAGATTCCCTTAAATCTTAAAGAACAAAGTAATTAAAACCTCTTAAATTATGCCAATTCATAAGATATTAACTTTGGAAAAGAATTTAAGTTACAGAAAATTTTCTGAGAATCCAAAATGCTATTTCAGTAAGAGTATACTATTAAAAAAAAATGAAGTGAATTGATAAATTAAATATATATGATTTTATGATTTACCTGTAAATTAATTAAAAATAATAATATAAAACAAAACAAGTTCAATAATCCATACCACTCGATTACCATCCCCTCTCCCTTAAGGTTAAAAAGTCTCAATCTTAAGAGTCATACAAAATAACTGTATAAGCATAGTATAAGACTGTTAGATCAATGAACATCTTATGTCAATCAATATGGCGTCTTTTTGTTGGATCGTCATTGGTCCAGCGATCTTATCCTATGCTTATGTCGTTTTGTGTGTGATGGCTCCTCCCTCTCTGAGTAAAATTTTGTCTACGCCCTCTGCCTTGAGAAAAAATCCTAGTTGAAAATGAACGAGTCAAAAGATTCTGTCACACGACACATCAATCAAAATTCCGGTTCTCTTAATTAGAATTATAATAGATTCAATTAGAAAATTATGATTCGTCCATTTCCAACCAGAATATAATTATAATTAATGCAACCAGACTTTTTTCTCAGTGCATGTACATGTACGTCATCTTTTCGTTATATAATTATTTTGCGACCGGGCTGTATACGTTACTCTCGAGAATTACTCCAGCATTGAAAGCAGAAGTGGCTAGTTAAGCCTCAACAGCGTAAGCGGATAACGCGACGTTGTTCCACGCGATTAATTTCAAATGAACCACAAGCAAGGATTTAAATTCAAGGTTAAGCGCCACATTGGAGTATCGAAAACTTAGCAGTTGCAAACTTCAGAGGCACGTACTTCTTTGACGAATTTCATCGTCGTTCTCGTCTTATTGTTAGCTACGGACGTGATTCTAATTTTATCACTTCTAAAGTGACATTCGACGTCGCGTCGTCGCGTCGCTTAATGGGTAAGCCCGACATCTTTCGTTGAGCATGATTATGATCTAGAAACAGAATCGCGCCAGGCAGAGTTAACCGATCAAGGCTGACGCAGGAGCAATCGGGCCAGGGAGAGATATCGCGGCCGGATTCTGTTCGATTGTTCGATTCGCGTACGCTTTCTCCTTTCTACTTCGGACCCGATACTCTTTTTGCAGGTACGCGTTTAGAAGCGATACACACGGCTCGATCATTTGCGAGAATATCAAGAAACTCTGGGGCCTTATTCTTGAAAAATATCGTATACGGAAATGCTAGGGAAATCTATAATATACATAACGTATACTTACTTTTTTGTATATTTTCGTATGCGATATTTTTCGAGAATATGGTCCCTGTAAACGGTCCAGCTTTTCGAGGATCGACGGATTTTTTTAACTCGTTTTTTTCTGTTTTCCCAGTAAATAAAATGTAATGATAAAAAATAACTTCGACATGAGGATCAATACTAATCAAATTACCACATGAAAATAAAGTAGAATTCCAGGTCACTTTTCAATAAAATTGTATGAAATTGCTTGAGATAAAAATTGTTAATAATAAAATTCTATTCTGTTTTTTTTTTCGCACTAATTATAATTGTAATTATACAAGTTTAATAATCTAGTTTTGTGTGTGTGTGTCTGCAGTTGAAATATATCTACTTCCTGAAAATGTCTCCAAATAATTCGCAGAAGAATACTACCTAATAAAGAATTGCAGTGTAAAAACAATTTATCTCAACATTGCAAATTTGTTCGATTCTTCAAAAGTTCAGAAACTCAACAAGAAATTCCAGTTTAATATATCTTCCTTAGGAAAAAGAGAAATATTCGTTTTCTCTCTTACCAATGGCACTGGCTTAGAAGGATGAAAGGATGGCGAACGAAAAATAAACATGGACGATGCGGTATCTACGGATCACATCGTAGAAGCCGCGATCGAACGCGATATCGAAAGGGAAATTTTATCTACTTCATCCCTTGGCATACTTTCTCAAACGTTTACCTTGTAACAAACATTGGACTGACATCCAATGATTATCTTCCGGTAGTATTGGTATCGAAGCATGAGATTAAAATAGACAGTGCCGCGCGAAAACAGCTTCTTCCTTCGAAGGGCACGTTCTTGGAGACGATTTTCTTTTTGGACTCTCGAACAAAAGCTGATTTTAAGCGACAATTGGCACCAGTAATATTAATTAAAATTAAAATTTCGATTGTAAGAATGCGAAAGCAATCTCTGTGTACATTAGTAACAGGAAGCGCATTTTCGCGTACCCGTAACATCGAAAAATTAACTCGATGGTATATACCGTACTTCATTTCCTGGTTTCGAGAGTCGCAAAGATAGTACGTCTTACGGTCGATCGTTAGCGCAGATGCGGCGGGATTGAGTTATGGGCACCGCACTCTCACGGCCGTAAACTCACGTCGACATGATTAAAGGTCCGGCACTACTTAGCAAAGAGCATATATTCTAAGGAGGCTTTCATTCCGCAAGGGAGTGCCGATAATGAAGTGTACGTGCAGTTGGGAGCATATAATATATGGTAATTTAACGCATATGTAATATATACATCATACAATACAGCACCCTAACCACAAGTACTCGCCCGTGAGTTTATATGAGTAATTGTCTGAGGGTCTATTTTTTTATTGATAAACTTAACCAAGCTGCACAGTAAAAATTAGCCGAAGCGTTAGTGTTATGTGCGTTGAGGAGACCGAGGGTGAGAAAGAAATATATATATGTGTGTGTATGTGTGCGTGTGTGCGTGTGTTGTAATGTATGTATGTATGTAATCGGCTGGACCAAATGTAACTTATCGCAGCCGCAGAATGACACAGTAGTGCCCCGACAAAGAAAAAAAAAAATAGAAAAATTGGGGCCGACACCAAAATTTGTAGGATGGATTGTGTGTATTTATATGTGGCGTGAGAAGGAAATGATAATAGCGAATCAGCGATTCATCAGCGGCTCACAATCGCAACGAAAACTGCCCTGCAATCGGCAACGCCTCGTTTCGCCGCGCGCAGGAAAGGAAAAAGAAAAAAGATCGACAAGAGATCGATTTCCTGTGCCGCAACACAGAGCGCCGAACGTATATCACCAAGTCGCCAAGTCGAGTGGCACGCGGTGAAATAAAAAAAAAAAATATATATTTAAAAAAGAGAAGTATAGACGAGAGAACAAGAGATCGATTTCCTGTGCTGCACAGTCACCGTCGAGTTGCGTTCAGGAGCCTGTTTTATATTAAACGCCGCGATATAAATGTGCCGGCAAATTTGCCATGGTATTTTCTTTTCCGTGGGACCAGCTCCGAGGATCGAAACCGGAATAATTTCGTCGAGACCATTTTGTTCCGATACTAGAAGCAAAAGAATCACTTTTTCGCATCTGAAATGTCGACAATTGAACTCGTCGAGGTTGCACCGATCTTGGAATTCGCAGAGTGCAATAGCCGACCAGTGCCGATCGTGTGAGAATGTTTCGCGATAGATATATCGAAACACTAAGAAGGTGTATTAGTTATCGCGTAGTTATATGTGGTAGCCTTGAAGGATCGAAACCGGTCTGATTTCGGAGAGTTCGGACTTGGATCATACAAATCCTTGCGAATCAGTTTTTAACACCGATTTATAACCGTTTCGATTCAAAATTTCTTTTCAAAACTGGAAATTGCAAAAAGACTACTAAGGTTTCAATCAATTCTTCATCTCTTTCGCAGTTCCAGTTCTGAAATAAGCACACATCAGAGTAATCACGTAAATTTTATATTATACGATAATTATACGATGAAAACACGATGGTTCTCTTTTCTCACGTTTATATGCCACCGAGGATTCTTTGAACTCACCGAAACTGCACCAGAGATTTCGATCGTCGACTGACGGTATTAAAGATCCAAATCTTTTTCGCGATTTCACGGGGAAATGCCGGCTCGTCATCGCGCAATGGCACCTACTTGCAATTCTCAGATGCTGCTGCTGCTCGAAGAGAGTGCTGGGAGGACAGTGCTTGCGAGAGAGGCGAAAAACAAGTAGAAGTAGTAGAAAAGAAAGAAGAAGAAAAAGAAGAAATAGAGAATATCGGTGTTACCTGCACGCTAAACTCACCAGGGACCCCTGCCACTCGTGGGGAATCGGCCTGTAGTCCCGACCGGAAGCGCCCGGAAGTCGCGGTTGGTATCGTGGAGAACGCTCAGCCAATCCCGCGCCACCTCCTTTAGCGAGCGGGGGCTTGGGATTGGCTGCTACTCAGCCTCAAGGCCGCTGCTGATGCTTCTCCTTCTGCCCTTCTCCCAACAGGCCCCGAGTGTGCGTTGTGCGCTACATGGCCGCGCGCGGGGCCCAGCGGAGATCAGCGATCGGGGTGGCGACTCCGCGATTCCGCCGCTCTGGAAAAATCCTGGCGCTTCGATCGGATTGTCGAATCGTCAAATCGTCGAATCGTCGAATCGTCGAATGCCGCGGCGGCGAAGAAGCGGCGGAATTGCCGGAATTGTCTCTCACAACCCGATGGATGGAGGTTGCGTGACTTCCGTCGATCGACATCAAACGTATGTGAATATCCAGCGCATAACACAATGTCTCGAGATTCTTCTGAATGTTCAGTAACATTTGGTTTTTCGCCTCGATTAAAATTTCAAAAATGTTTCGCACTTAAAATGAGACTAGTACATGTTCAGTTGACGAGGGAAAAAACAAAGATGCCAAGTCTGTCAAGCAAAAAATGCAAAGAATGCGAACAGGCTTGATATCTGCCGTTGTCTATTGCTCCGTGAGAAACAAAGTTATATGACGATTGATCTGTTCTTTTCAGCTCAACTTCTTGCATTCATCTTTCCTCTTTTCTGTCTAATATGGAGAGAAAAAGAGAAAAGATGAATGATGCCTGAAATTCAGCTAAAAAGAACAGACCTAATTACAAACTATTATAATCTTCATTGTAATTTTCAAGCTTTTTTATTTAGACACATACAAGTTTGTTTCATTCTTTTGTTTTGATATTCTACATTCGTATTGACGGATATTAAAAAAAATTAAAAAAAAATTTGAACATTCAGAATTGCAATGATCGCTGGATACGAATGTGCTGCATGGGACATTCAATGAACATTTAAAAATGTCCATTGATTCTCCTGAGAGCCGCACGGGATAGACGGTAGTCTCGCAATAGGATGGGAGGAGAAAGGTCTGCCATTTTTACTAGGCAATCTTTTTTTTTTCACGAATCCTTACTATCTATCATTTCGCGTGTCGATTTACGTGTCGACGATAACGACCGGGGATAGACGAGTTGATCATTAATCTGATGCCAAATTGGAGTGCAGGTTGAGAAAAAAAAGATCTTATAATTTTGTCGCAATGTGTCCAATTAGTATATTGATGAATAAATGATAGGCCAGATTACTTTCTCGATTCTGAAGAGTTCGCATAATTTTGCAAAAGGCGTCGTTTAACAATGCGTAAAGTGGGATCTCTGCATGGATGCGTCGGATGCACGTCAAAGTGCGTGGCACGAAGCGGCGTGTTGCGTGAGACGATCGTGGCGAAATTGAATTTCGATTTATCTATGAATTTCACAGGAGAAAGAGAACTCGCGGGAATTTTATTTCGCTGTACGCGAATCTCTGCAAAGTGCTACGTGAAAGATGAAGAAAATAGAACGAACGTCGACAAGCAACTACACCTTCGCGCGTCCGAGTTCCGTTAATTGATCGGGTCAATCGTTAAATTTAGCGTATGAAACGATACAAGTATGTGACGCGGGATGTTATACGGGATGTTCCGGAAACCGCGCGTGCTTCCTTCGCGTTTTCCTGCTCGAGTCGCTCTTTCATACGTTTCACGAGCTCTGATTTAAATTCTGACAAGTACTGATTTTATCATAATCGTTCTGATTCTTAATCTATCTCGATTTCGATCTGCGACGTAGCTGATGATTCTATGATCGTTGACTCTGTAACTACCGACCTATACGATTGTTAATTTTCCGCGCACGTTGGCCTGATAATGACGGATGCCTCGAAAATATCCCGAAGCGACCGCAACAACCGTCTCGCTTCTTAACCACCAAGGAAGCGCGCGTCTTCGGGTACACCCCGTATAAGTGTATGTAACGTACGGCAATTGGCCATGTGTGCGCACGATTCACGGACTGTCGACGACGGTCGGCCCTCTTGCAAAACGAAAGGGCGAGGGGAGCTGGTGGTAGTCTCAATCTGGTAGTACTGTAGTAGTAATGGTGGTGGTGGTGGTGGTGGTGGTGGTGGTGGTGGTAGTGGTGGTGGCGATGGCGGTGGTGGTCTGGTGGTTCGAGCCAGCCAGCGAGCTGAGAGAGCTGTTTCTAGGTTCTCGGGTTCTCCGTCCACGACGACGGCGAACGGGTATAGGCAGTTCGTCGGGTTGCTTCTCTCCCTTCCTTACTTGGGCCGTGTACGGGGGTGATTTTCGGGGAGACGAAATTCCAGCTTCCAACTGTTGCGCAAATAACGTGGCGCAAACGCAGCCTCGAAGGCGTGGCGATCGACAAAGGGCCCGGAAACGGCCGATAACGTGCCGTTTTCCATTCCCCTTCACCCCACCCTCTATCTCCGTCTGTCTCTCTCCTGATTTTTTTTTTCGCCGTCTCGTTACGCACCACCTGCGGAGTAGGAAGCAGCCTCGCCGCAGAACAAACGAGTAACGTGCCTCGCTCCAGTCGGGATTGTCGGGAACTCGCGGGACTCCCGGACATGCAACGAGGAAGAGGAGGGCGGTGGCGATGACGGCGGCGACGACGGCAACGACGACGGCAGAGGCGGTGGTGGTCGCCTTCTCGATGTGCACGAGCGTGTTCTGGAATTCGAAACACACAAGTTGTCTTTATCACGATTTCTGCTGAGAGGAACATCGCTCGTTTTATCACCTCATCGCTCCTTTTCTCTCTCTCTCTTTCTCTCATCCTTTCTCTCTCGCTCTCTCGCCGTCTCACGCGACATGCATACGCGTCTCCCTGTCGTTCTTCCATTCTCACACATACATGATACATGCACGTTCTCTCTTTCTTTCTCGCTTACTATCGAGACTGCCCGACGCACTTCTCCGTGACGCACCGCGCAAGATAAAACGGACGCCCGCCCGTCGTCGTTTCTCTCCGTCTTCGTCGGACTGCCGGACGTGTTAGCCTAGAAATCGTCCCGCGCCGAGGCGATCAACCTCCTCGTCCTCTCCTCCTCCTCCTCGTCTTCGTCGTCATCGCCGTCCGTCCTGGCACGATGCACCGCGCGATCGATCCCGTCTCGCCGCGCGTGAATTTATTGCCCCCTTTTCCCTTCCTCACACGCACGCACCGCACGCCCGCGCTGCCGCGAATGTTTGCGAATGTTTGCGAATGTCGTGTATCGAGCCGTGCCTCGACGTCTAAAACGCGGACAAAACGATCGCGGTGACGAGCGAGGCCACGTTTGATGCGTCCACGTCTCGTCAGTCTCGTGACGAACGACTCTCTTCGCGCGCCACTCGACGCGCGATACCACGGCGACGGCGACCAACGGCGACCAACGGCGACGGACGATAACGACGCGAGCGACCGAACGGGGAAGTGGGAACGTGGAATAGAGACCGATCTTGGCACCTTGGCACCTTGGCGCGACGTGTACACCGTACACGTCGTTGGACTGCCGGAGGCGGCCGTCTGCGGGTGTCCCAAGGATTTCCTTCTCGAAACGCGCACGACTGTCGACGGAACACCGACCGCGAGTCGCGACTCTCCTCGCCATGGTAAGCGAACGCAGCGTCGGTTCGGTGCTTTTTCCTTTTTTTTTTCCCCCCTTTTCGTTTTACTCTTTTTCCAACTCGCTTGCTCGCAGTGACGTACAAACTTGTGGTTACGATCGTGAAATTTTTCTCTGCTCGGAACACGGCACAGTGTGCATGTCCGGGAATTCGACTCGCGAGGAGACGACGTGATCGCGGAGCACGGGTCGGCGGAAAGACTCCACGAACCGTTCCTAACCTCAAAATGGCCGTTTCAGGACGTCGCCGCGTTCTCCGAGGACAGCTTCGATGTGAAGGAGTGGATCAACCGGACGTTCAAGTCCGCCGAAGCGCAGGAGAACAAGGACGTAAGTCGCACCATCCTCGGGCCACCATCCCCGATTTTGTCAATTTCTATCCCCCGTCGGATCCAAATCACGCTCATCGTCGCGACGCCCGTCGGCCACCAAACTGGCTTCCACCGCCAGCGGCGGTGACACCGATCAGTTCTTTTTAAAGACGATCCCTTTTTTCACACCACCGCCAAGGTGCGTATCTCACGCCCAAATTTATGTCGCAACACCGTTGGGTCATATACCGACGGACAATAAACTTTTCTGTCGATTCCGCGACACACACGGCGATATTTTTTCGTTTTTAGAATAAATTCTTACGCGGATATAATTTTATCGCGTAATTTTGTCATTGAATTATAACGTTATTTTTGGTAGTATTTTAATAGGTTCAATGTCATTGTAAATTAAGCAGCTCATGTATTTCTAACATAATGAGAAGAAGCTAGCAACTAATTATATTTAACCAATTAAAGAATATTTCAATCTCGTATTCTGTGTTATTAATTAATTATGAATTGTTTGACGATTTTATAAATATAAGCAACTATCTTTGAAAAAATTTGTGTCACGGTTGAATATGCTTTGCAGGCTTTTGTTTCATCATTAGTGATGAAGTTGCAATTATATGTGCAACAAGTTAACGGTGCCTTAGAGGAGACCAGTCAATCGGTTCTCTCTAGCTTACCAAGAATTTTAAGAGACACTCTACTCCTGCAGCAAGAAACATTGGCACTAAGAGAAAAAATGGTTGCTGTCAAGCAAGAGATTGCAAAGGTTGGTACACCTAATTTTTTTAAATATTTATCTTGATAGTAGTAATACCTTTAGAAAACAATGAAACCTAGATCGAGAAAGACACGGCCTCTTCTATGGCAATGTTGGAAAAGATCGATAGGATAAAAACGGAGTTACAAACTGCTAAGCAAGGATTACACGAAGCCGACAATTGGACAGTATTAGCGAATGATGTGGAAGAGGTATATGAAAATTCCAATTGGTTTCTTCACATATTTCGATATGATATGCGATAATTTAATTATTTTGTTTCCTTTAATTTTAATATAACAGGTATTCGAGTCTGGCGATATAGAAGCTATATCTAATAAATTGTTCAGCATGCAGAAATCGTTAGCTATGCTTGCGAATGTTGTCGATTATGAGGATAAAAAGCTGCAGCTAGAAGGCTTGAAAAATCGCCTCGAGGCGATAGCTAGTCCACGATTGGTCCAAGCTTTTACTGCTGCCAATTCAGGTGAAATTTGCAAGATCCAAATTATTTCATTTATTTTGCAAGATATGATACTAATGTCATATTTTGTTTAGAACAATCGAAAATTTACGTGGATATCTTTGGTAAGATGGAACGTCTGCCTCAGCTTCTCAAATATTATCACAACTGCTTGAAGATTTCTTTAGGTCAAGAATGGAGACGCACTATTGAGTTAGCACAAGATGAAAATGTTACCTATTGGCTACGCGTATATTATGACAAATTGTTATCCTCTTGGCATGAACAGGTATGCGCGGTTTTTGTCAGATCAAAATATGATTATTGCTGCATTACAAATATTTTCTATAACTGTTTATGTTAAAGGTGAAATGGTGCCATCAAGTCTTTCCTAATACTTCAATAGATATTCATGTCGAGGTTTATGCTGACCTTTTAAGGAGCCTCGATCCGGGTATTCCAGAATGTATCGAGGCGATTCTCAAACAACATTCGAATTCGGTGCAGTTGACCATTCTACACGAATTGAAACAAATGACAAAGTATTTTGCTACAAACCTTAATGGTGCTATCGAAACGTCGCTCCGCGGAAAATTGCAGAATGAAAAATTATTGTCACTAGCGCAAGCTGTATATGCGCCTTACGTTCCTTACATTGCGAAATATAGCACGTTCCAAACTGCACAGTTAGAACACCATCTACAGTTTTGGCATCATTCGCATGATGATTTAAGCGATACTATCAACTCCCTTTCTCTTAGTATTTCGCGAATTATGGGTTATGCTAGTGATGCTAATAAGCAATGTAAGCTTTTTACAGAAGGTTGTGGATATCCCGGTTTATTGCAATCGTTAAACGTATGTTTACATTTTTCGCTTGTATCATGATTATAAAATGAATTTCTTATTAAACTGACGATCTATGTTGTAGATTTTTTTCAACAAATATCTTGAGAAATATCAACAAGGTCTGAGACAACTTGAGAGAAAGAAAGTGAAACATGAAGACTGGAATTTATTCCAAATGTGTCTTACGTTGATGCAAAATATAGGTAAATATATAAGTTTTAGCAATCAATTTTGTATATGACATGAACGCGAAATTAATGTAATTTAAATTGTATTGCTGTATAGGTGATCTCTTGCATCAAGTTCAACAATTTGAAAAATCGCTCGTGGTCGACATAACAGAAGCTAGTAATAAAATACAAAATACAAACGGTAGCGTTTTCTGTCAGTATAAAAAATTACTCTTAACTTCGACAGGATGCGCTGATCTAGAAAATCTTGTTGCATCTTTCCAAAGAGGTATGTATACGCGCGTAGTAATAATAATTATAATGTTACGGAAAGCAAATTATCTAATTTCTTGTTTTTTTTTTTGCAGAGGATAAAACAATTCTCGATTCCATTATAAAATCTATTCAAAAACTCTGCACTGATTTACATCATATCACGTACGAAGTCATTTTTGCGCCAATATTCTCTCAACTATTGCTGGTGCAAAAGGCACCGGCTTGGACATTGGAGGCTAACAAAATGTCCAATCTAAGTTCAGATTTACCCGATTATAGTTTCGCCCCTCAAGAATATATCACACAAGTCGGACAGTATTTAATGACGTTGCCACAGCATTTAGAACCGTTTCTGTTGAGGGACAATCCGAGTTTAACGCAAGCGTTGAAGGCAGCGGATCCACAATATGTTCAAGGCTCTAGTGAATCTGGATTTACTAGTATTCTTTTGGACATTATTGCCCGAGGAACGTGTCAAATGTTCCAGGATCAAACCTTAGGCATCTGTCAATTGAACTCCGTTGCTTGCAAACAGCTCGCAACTGATATTGGTAAAGATCTTTCATTATCTTTAACTTTATAATTTCTGAAGGAACTATGAAGGGACATAAATAAAAATTATTGTAGATTATCTGGGCAATGTACTGGAGGAGCTCGGTCTGTGTTTATCGGAAAATCTTCAACACATGTCCTTACTGTTAAGATTACCATCCGAAGATTATCAGAACGGTAGTTCTGGATGCAATGCTCGTGTCGTAGCTGCAGTCAGACAAATGCGCAATATTACGTCTTCCGGCTGACACAGTCCGTGTCAAAAACCGGACACGATGTCACAATGTGAGAAACTTCATTTACCGTTCCATGTTTTTAGCAAAACTTAGTGATTTCGCGCGATATTTGTACAACATATTTGCAACTATATTTCTATAATTGTAAAAAAAAATCATGTATAGTATTATAATATATATATATATATACGAACGTATTCTTATTAAGTTTTGTCTTTTCATTTAACACACACTTTACATTTATTGCAAGATCTATATTTTATGAATAAAAAGAGATTTAAAAGATTTGAGTTTCATTAGATGAAGACTCGGGCTTAACTTAAACATGGCTACATAATATTCTCTGATCAGGACAAGTGCGGGCATTCATCAGGTATCGTACTTTAATGTCATTTATTCGCTACACTATGCCTGAACTACTGTTAACCAATTTCACTCTGCATCGGTAAGTAACTCGAATACAGAATGATTTTGTTTCAAACTTATCTTCGATTTTTCTTTTTCTTGTATATCGACGTACAGAATATAAAACAAATTACAAAGATCGCAGCACCATAAGAACTCGGGGCATAATTTATGCGCCAGAGGCGTCGAATACTTACAAAGAACGAGAGATGTCTTTATATATAAGATCTATTAGGAAACCGATCATTTAATATCGGTAGAGATTCATAGTTGAGCATTTTCTCTTACTCTTTCACTCACTCTCTTATCACATATTCTCGTATATATATTTATAAAGTTTGAGACAAATACGTATTAACGTCTTTTAACGAGTCGTGTTATAAAGACGCAGATAAAATGCAGCAAATGCATATTTCGTACGAATATTGCACATCTGGATTGGATAAAAATATCTATTTTGCATAAAGATCCGCATTTATATACTTCATATTTTATCAGATTTCATTTATACATAATTTATACATCACGAAGTGTATAAAAAGCATTTGCTACATTTTTCTTCTCCAATGATATCATGAACTTTGCATCAAACTTATATACACGTAAAATCAACAATTGTTAACGTATCGAATATTTTACTCGTCGAGTGTACAACACCATTTTCCACGTTTTTCTTGTCTCTAAATTTATGTTAATTGTACGTAATATGTTAATTTTGCCTAAGATATGCAATGAACGTTAAAGTATAGCACGATAAACTATACACGAATCCATTAACATATAGACACAATAAATTTGAAAGTCATAGGACTTGTGCGTAAGTCTTTCGTGAGCATACGATGTAGAATCGTTCGCCCTGATGAAAGGATCATACCGAAATATAAATGTAATTATAATTATGCACGATAAATACTTAAAATTTATCGCGTGAATTACACAAGCAGGGTACATTTTAAATTAATAATATGAATAATAATAATACAATAAAATAATATGAAGAATACAATCATAAAGTAAACTGGCTATTAAAGTACATCGCTAATACCTTGTCTTCGAATTGTAAGCGTGCAAAAACTGAAAGTGATCTCGCACATTTCTCTCTCAACAATACTCTTAACAATTTGTCACGGATTAATAGACAAATCGTTGCACCTTACGCAAGTAGAGTTTCTTTTGTTTTTTTAAAAGAAATTCGCGCGATTTCTCTTCAGATTCCGTGCGAGGAAAAACAGCTATTCGATTAAGTCCACACAATACTTTGCGACATACGCATACATAATCGTAATTAGACAGTCCATCAAACAATTACTATTTGGTAGTGAAAAGAGAATTATATACGGGCAATCGTGTGGCACTATTTCAATGTGGTCTGAGTTCCTACTTATCTTCCTGATTGACTAGAATTCGATTTTTATTCGATTACAATAGCGTTCGCAATATCAAAGTCATTTCGTGGTGATTTCACAGTCGCTGGTTCGTAGAGAATTCCCTTATTGTTCGATTGCCTACGCGTTGAGAATCAAGCGTCGAAATCCCTGATTTAGATAGCGGATTTCTTTTTCTACTCCATTCTCGACTACGTCGCGATTGTGGCAAGTTTCGTTATAATCAAAGCATATTCGTAAGCAGATATACTGCATGCAATATGTATCAAGTCCTCCTTACCTACGACAGCACTACCAAATGTTAGCATATAAAAGCTAGACTCTCTCGCGAGAGCTTAAGATACATATGGGAAATTATTGTATTATATAACAACATGTCGGATGCCTGTGAGCAACGGTGCAACGTGATCCGACGTGATCGGAGTTCGATATATATATAAACATTATCTATATGTTTCTTTTTCCCAAGGATGACAAAGCTGTCAGCATTTCCCAGGGAAAATAGAAAGTTATTTTTTAGAAGTAACAAGTTACAATTACTCGTTATCGAGTAGAAAAAGTAATAAGTTGCCGATTTTTAAAAGTAACCCGTTACAGTTATCGTTACTTGAATAAGTAACTTTTCGTTACTTTTTCGTTTTTTTAAAATGACCACCAATCACAACGGACCTATAGAGGCTTTCTAGTCTCAAGCGCTACGAGTAGCTTGTGTCCAATCGTACCGTGTCCAATCGTGTACAAAGTAACGATAAAAGTAACTGTAAAATTCTGTTATCAATAAAATGTAACTTCGTTACCGTTACAGTTATCAAAGAAAAAAAGTAACACAGTTATCAGAAATTACAAAAAAAGTAACTCGTGACTGTAACTTTGTTACAAGTATAACGAGTTACTTCCATTCCCTGGAATTTCCTTTATAACCCTGGTCCATATCCAGTAATTCCTTTCGAATAAAGGGGAGAAAAGACAAGATTCTTTCTTTTTCAACTGATAAAACTAACGCTCGATAAGTTAAATCAATAATCAAAAAGCTGAATTAAGAAATACCGATGCTAGAAACATTCAATTGTGTACATTGCATGTTTTGGCTAATTGATATTCGCTGCTGACCTATTAGTGTATCCGTTATTGACTGGTGCAAATATTTGATCCACACACCGATGAAGATACTTTATTTGCCTTCGTTACAAGGGACTTGGTCTTACTCCTTAATGCGGTCAGCAGCAGGAAGGTTTCATGCCACTTTTTTCTTACTGGTCTTCTTACTGCGAGGTAAGGTAGCGAAACTTGTTATCTGAAATGGAGATACAATGTTATTATAGCTTATATTTTTATTATGGAATTCAGATGACATGTTACCAATCTCTCGCCATTTTTTATGGTTTTGATGGAATTTATTAAGTGATAAAAAATGAAGAGCAAGATCATTTTCTTTAAAAAGACTAAAACTCAATCAATTATTTATAAAATTACTTATAAATTCAAATATAAAAATCCCTTATTTGAAATGAACAAACCATTCACTCTTAAAAAAATTATGGATTAATTGCGTTATAATGTCACATTAAAAATTAATATCATGCAAGACTAAAACGCGCAGTTAAGTGTTATGTGTTATGATTAAAAAAGAAATTGTAGTTAATTGTGGATTAACAAGACTCAGAAATCAGAAACTAGTCCATACGATCTTAATGAAACAGTCCATCTCTTCTGGCCGAATTTCCTATTAGGATAAAATACGAAATATGGGAGAAAACTAGGATAGAGAGAACGAACAAGCTTTTATCATATTTTAAAAACATCAAAGACAAAAACAAGTATATGTAATTATTTAGTACAGCTAATATAATTTCTCTATGAAATATGCGACTTAATGAAATGCGTTTAATTAATGTCAGTGATAATCTCTTTTCTGTTGCTGTAAGGCAGCGACTGTGACATATCACGAATCTGTGAGTTCGATTCATTTTCAATATTCTCTTCATGATTTTCGGATTTTTCTGTATTCATTGCACCTTCTTCTTTCTTATTATCTTCAATTTTAAAAGCTTTAATTTCATTTAAGGGCACAATCTTAGTATCCAAATTATCAGCGAAAGTATTAGTTTTGTCGAAATTTTTAATGCTGTCATCGCGTTCCTGTCTCAGTGGAATCTCTTCTACGTCCACTTCTTGCTTTGAAACAGATAATTTTGAGGATGTGTCTACAAACGCCTGGGATCCGATACTACTCGATCTTGATACGGATCCACTGGTCTCAGAATACGAGGAGCTGGAATCTTCCTCTTTAGCGGAAGCTTCATTTTGTTCCTTGTGGAAAGCATTGTGAAAGATGTTCTTCGGGATCGTTAATAATTTGGAAAAACTCTCCTTAGCGCGTAATCTATTAGATTTCTTCTTTCTTTTTTTCATGTCCGGGATATGTGCTAAGAATATATCTTTCGTAGCATCCGCGTTTGAAACAGTTCTCAATGTACCAGTTTTAATGACCAAGGTGGCCTTTAAAGCATTTTGAGACTCGTTTTCGTCAATATCTTCATTACTTATTACCTCGTTACTTGTTGGAGCTTTCGGAGCGGGCTTTTTATGATATTTTCCTGCGCGAGTATCACCATCAAGATCGCAATTCGATGTACTTGACGTAATGGAAGATTGAACCGCAGTATCGCAAGCACAAGTACTTAACGAATCGTCAGTCTTAATTTCCCGTATATATTCCTTACCTTTGTCGATTGTATTCAACTTTTCTTGGGAAGATACGATGCTTGTTACAGCTTTGTGCGCATCATCTAATAGTTGCTTCAATTCGTTGAATTTTTGCTGACATATCTCGCCGGTTATTCGTCCAAGACCAGTTTCTGTATCAGGCTTTTGGGAAACAGTTGGAACTACTCCTTGATTACTTTTCGGTTCATCAATATATTCAATTTGCGTGTTAGAATCGCTTTGCTGAGAATCAGATTCCTTTATCAAACAATCGATATTTATTTTGTCTGCGCTTTTTGTTACCGCAGGTATTGACAAGTTTTCCATCGAGATATTCTTGATCTCTATGGTCTGCACTGTTTGCACGTCTATTTGAGCCGAGTCTGTGTCAACGAACTCGCCGCTCGATTCCATTGATGATGATTCATTATCTTCTATTTTCATTGCGGATTTGTTTTCGTTTGCGGATTTATCGTTATCGATATGAGCGATAATAGATGTCGAACGGTCTACCGATTTATTATTTTGAGATAATAACAGTAAAAGCTCGACAGCTTGTTCAGGAGTCAGGACGTTTAAGGACGATGGTAGGGAGACATTTTCGGAAGGTGTGCGGTCGAAATCCTCGCCCCTGTCCTTCAAAGACCATAAAAAAGTACGTGTTATTAACTGAGTTGACGAATGTGCGTGAAAGAGCGACGTGTAATTTCTTTTTTTTTTTTTTTGTTAATGATAGATGTGTACGCGATTATCAGTCTCTATGCTATTCGGGCTTACTTCGGGCGTCTTCTTCGCGGTAGAACGAGGCTTCACGCGTGTTCTCGCACCGACGCTTGATGTTCTCACTAAAGAGTCACCCTGAGAAGTCGTTCGCTGGGATTGCAACGCCTCGCCGCTACTGTAACCGCTAGATATGTCGTCCGAGGACCTTATATTTCTATAAATATGAAAAGATTTGTTACTATCGATCGCTTAACGTTAACGCGATTGTTCTTGAAAGCTGCGCGGGACTACGTACGTTAAACTAGCTATGGGCTCCCTAGGCCTTGGCTGTCGAACATCGACATCCACTTCGGAAAAATACATCTCTACTCGAGACGCATTGCTGCTGGACTGAGTCCTGCGAGGACTATAGCCTCTTCTGCCAATGTGCTCTCTTCGACGAGGTTCTATAAGAACCAGAAATTTTATTTACTTAAAATTAAGTCACTAAGTGGTAAGCGTGTTTTGTTTTATAAACTATTTAAATAATATTTTTAAAAATTTATGTATAAAACACATGTATAAAATTATGTATTTATAAAGTACATAATTATATTAAAAATAAACATATAAGTCCGTAAAAATATAAAAAAGAAATATTTGCTTGCGCTCAAAATATTTGCTTTTATTTTCGCAAAATCTCCATTTAATGAACACGACGCGAGAGCTCAGCTACCTTCCATATCTGTTTCGTCACGCGCATCGGGTGTGTTTCTATTTTCATCCTCCTTCTCGCCGGTTAGATCACTGAGGCTGTAACTTTTCCTCAATTGTTGCACCAGCCCACCGCCGCCCTGGAAAACAAAGCCGCCCGTGAAACACATGCGCCGCAAATAACGCGAACAGTATGTTACTGCGAGAAAAAAAAGATGAAAAAAAAAAAAAGAATTAAGTTATCGAGAGAAAAACTCAAAGAGTCGATTAAGTAAAAGAAAACAAAATAAAAATCTTACCAACCAAAAGGATGTTAATGTGTTATCTGCCGTCACCCGGTCACGGAAGGTAAACTCCCCTTACGCCGAATTTAGATCAATCCAAAGGCGATTTTCTTGCTTTTCCCGGACGTATATATGTGTTTTCTGTTAAACATGCGCCGTCCAGAAGCACGCGACGGCCGATGATATATAAATGCGTGCAATATGCGTGAGTAACCGTCGCGTCTAATATAGCGCGTCGTTTAGCGATTAGTTCTATTAATTGAATGTGAATTTATATCTTTGGAAAGAATGCGCTGCTGGTGCGAGAATTAATGCCTGGAATGAGAGTCGCTGTTCGGGATACAGCGGGAGGTGATGTAAGACAGGACGCGGTCGTTGCGGCGAAATGAACAAACAAAAACAGAGGATCAAAAGCTCATCCAAATAATACTTTTATTTGAAAAGAAAGGAATCAGCTCATCATAATAATCAGAGTCTTTGGATTACAAAAATCTTATTCGCTAGAACAGCTCGATGCTAAGTGCTCGCACACGGAAAATTATATGTGAGAAGGCATTGGGGTTTACGTAGCCAGAGATTGTCTTTGTTGCTGCAAAGACCAAAACTGACTCCTGCATGCTTTTCGCGTAAATTAATCCCTGACAATTCATTCGGAATTATAACGTATACATGTACAGTTAAAACATCCGATCGCAAGGATATAATACGCAATTCTCTAGAAGAATAATCGATTACATATATACTGAAAAAATGTGCTAAATTTTAATGTTTTGAATTTGATTAATTTGACTAATTAAATATTTACTAAATGTAAACATATATTTATTCATTTACAACTTACAAGAATTTGATATAATCATCATTTTTTATTGAGTTAATGTTTATATTTATTACAAGTAAATATTGAATCAATATTATTGAAAAAAATATGTATTAAGATTTAGTATATTTTTCCTCAGTATACCTGTAGCGTGAATTACGTACAAAAATGATCTCTCTTTCACACATCAAATAACACACGCGTCTTTTTCCGTCTATGTGTTTCCATAAACGAGTGACGTCGAACAAGTAGCGGGTATTTTATCGGCGTTGATACAGCAGGACACATCCAACAATTGTTGTTGATCACAATAGTCGATGAGGGATTTTATTGTTACTATGATTTTTCCGTGTGCGCGCGATCTAACAAATTTTTTTTTTTTTGGTAACTTCGTTGGTGAAATGCGCAAACGAGATGACGAGTACACAAAACACGTGAATAACACTAGATATGACAACAATGATGATGGTGATGATGACGATGACGATTACGCGAGCGCGTGATCGTCCATCTCGTTGTATGCATTCTCAATTCTCGTATTAACAACTCCTTTTTCTGAATTCCTCCTCCCGAAACGCAACTTGTAGAATATATGACTTGTCGAGCATGCAGCATAAAACAGATGCTTAAAGTCTCAGTTTCAATGACTTCGATCGAGTTAATCTAAGTTAAAGATTCGTTGTCTTTTTATAGATAACAATCCTACTTATGACGAAGTCGAAAAAAGACTTGGTCATAAGTCGATCTAACTCTAGGATTACAAACGTCAGTTTTTGAAAACCGACTAAAATTTCACTCCACATTTTATTTTATAATTTAATAAGGCGATTTGAATTTTTATTTTATAATTGATTGATTTACAATGTTTAACATTCTCATAAAAAAAATTTATCAAAAAATATACATTTATATATATAAAAATACCCAACTGGATTTGAGAAACTCACATGAAGTTTCAAAAAAGATGTGTAATCTTAGAGTTCAAATCGAAGTCAGTGTTCATCGTGATGGTTGATTGTCTAATCACATCATGAAACTTATATAAAAATTATGAGATAAAAATACATGACATAATAGAAAAAAAAGATGTAATTGTTAATAGTTAATTACACAGAATTTTTAATTAATATTTTCGGATTTTTTCTTTGATATATTTTGATGTCAACGATTTTTTATTATCGTTCTTAAACTGAACGTCTTGACCGCTTTGATATAATTGGCATTATTATTATTATTAAAGTTAAGGCAATGTGTGGAATATTACGTAAAAATATTGAGATTGCTTCTAAAGCTATTTTATATTCCAGTTAAGACGTACGTAATCCTTATAAATCTTAAATTGAACGAAGTTTACGTGGAATAATTATACAAATCGAAGTAAGGCACACGAGTGGAAACGTTTAACAAGTCCTATCTTGGTCGAAAATGTGTACATGATTAAAAGTTCTCCACTATAGTCATGTTTTCAACGATTAAAGCCTTTCAAAATTTTCGTGTCTTTCTAAAAAATAGAGATACAAGATTGTACAAAAAGTCTTTTTATCTATTAGTGTATTAAATACCTATCAGTGTATTAAACAACCTTTCCGTCGCTAAATATATTTTATCCATAGTTAAACAATCACACATAGTGTAATTTTTATACTCACGAAAGCAATACAGACAAGAGATTATATGTATCACTAAATGAAAATTTGTCGTGAATCCGCGAAAAGAAAATTTCGTCTCGCGTATTCCCATAAAAAAAGTAACACAAAAAGCAAACTCGTAATAGAATTGCATGAAAGAAAAGTATCAAAGTGAGTGTATAATATACAAAAAAAATTGTCATCGATCCTCAGAGTGCTTTCTTTCGCGCGTAAAAAAGTCTTTTATCACTCGTAATAATCGTATCAGATACAAATCATTCGAGTCTTCGATAAAAATCGTCAACACTTTCCAATAGTCTTGATTCTTTCTGCTTTCCAGATTTCCGGTGGTTTATCCCCGTTTTTCCACCGTCTATATATCAAGTCATTTTCTTCTTTCCATTTTTCTAGTTTAGTTAATTGACGCCAGCATCGTCGCTAAACTCTAAATCGTAATTCTTCGTGGTCGACTTGCAGGCGCGAATTTTCTGTCGCCTGGTGACTTTGGTGGTAGTGGTGCTGCGCTCCTTCCTAGACTTTCGCGTTTTTCGTGGGGCTTCCTTCTCGGGCACTTTGAACTCCACCGGTTTTTCTTCCTCCAGCTGATCATTCTCCGTGTCCGTCATTGGCAGATCCTGTATTAACATTTCATCGTCGTCCGTTGTCGAGTCGCGGTACTGCCAGCCAACAATCGCATCCGTATCGCCTATCACCAGATCATCGGACCTAGCATGCAGATGGCTGTAGTCCGTGCTGTCGTCCGGATAATCCGGCCCGTCTAGCTGGTTGTTTGACGTTGTCGGTCTGAGGTTGGCTAAGCTAGAAATCGCCGGGTCTAATTGACGATCAGGGAGTGCACTCGTCGTGGTCGGGAATACAATCGGGAGATTCTATCATGTGATGCCGAAATTTTGTTTATTTTTTTTTTATTTATATATAATTTTTTTTGCGTTTCAATCGGCCAGCAATTCGGCGTGTTCGTGTTGGTGGTTGTTGTTACGGGTCAGTGGCAGAATTTCGTCGTGTGGTTGACGATGATTCGGTGTAGACAAATTTCTTAAGCAACGGCAGCGGTTAGGGCGATGGTCGGGCGATGGTTAAGTGTTCGGTATTTGCCGTGCGTGGTTTTGCGGATGGCGATGATGGCGATTTTTTGTTTTTTTTTTTTTTTTTCAGGTTTGATTAGACGGTAAGACGGCGATGCAGTGGTGAGAGAGGGCGATGACGTGCGGGAACGCGGATGGGACAGAACGAAAACAGAAAAAATCAAGAACACATAAAATCATTAGTGAGCGAATCGAGGAGAAGTCGATAGACGATGTTCTATGCGTGGTCAATGAAAGCGAGAGCTCAGGCTAGTTGAAGTACAAGATCAAA